AATGAATGAGTGGGGAGGGCATGGATGGTTCCCAGCAAGGAACAAATGGTCTGGGCCATCCCTGGGCAACCTACATGAGCCCCAAACTTTTCCTACTTCTAGCCTGCCTCAGACCAGGGCTCAGGTGGCTTCCCAGTACCACTGCAGTGGAACCTTTACATTTTATTGTCATTTCTTACTACTTGGACAATAAGCAAGCATCTTCCCTTCTCTGCTGAATTTTTTGGTTCTCATTTTATTTGAAAGCTCAGTTCCTTAGGAGAGCCCACCTTAGGACTAGTGGAGTGGCTCAAGTGGTAGATCGCCTTCCTAGAAGAGCCCAACTTTTTTGGGTCACACACATACCCTAGTCTCCACAACTATTGATCTGCCTGTTTCTCTTCCCTCATCTAATAACAGAGAACCTTGCACTAGGAGAACCTGCCTCAGCAGTTAAGATCTAAGAGATCTTAAGCAAACCACTCCCCTTGGGTGAGTGTTAGTTCCCATACCAGTAATCTGGAATTACCTTTCTTTTCCCCACCAATACAGGGTCTCACTGCTCTGCCTAGGCTGATCTCAAACTCCTAGACTCAAAGGATTCATCCTCAGTCTCCAGAGTAGATGGGATCATAGGAATGTCACACAACAACCAGCTGGTAATCTGGAATTCATAGCCCTGTCCTATCTGTCTCTTGGCATTTATGCATTTAATGAAAAAAGGGATTTATATACTGTAATATGATCGAATGTATTAATTAGGCACTGTACATAAAACATGAGTTGCAGCCAGGCGCCAGTGCCTACACCTGTAATCCTAGCTACTCAGGAGGCAGAGATCAGGAGGATCGAGGTTCAAAACCAACTCAGGCAAATAGTTCATGAAACCCTATCTTGAAAAAACCCATCATAAAAAAAAAGGGCTGATGGAGTGGCTTAAGGTGTAAGCCCTCAGTTCAAACCCCAGTACTGCAAAAAAAAAAAGTTACACTGGTCCGCTTCTACTTACAGAACCAATGTGTCACCTTTTGAGCCTGATATCCAAGACCCTTGTTAAGTCAGTCATTGTCTACCTCTCCTAATCTAACCCCCTTCAGAACACTATGGTCCTGTAAAGCTTAGCAATGTCTCTAAGAGAGCACACCCTTCTCAGTCTCAGGAGATTCCACTACCCTGAATATAATTAAAATCAAAAATCTTTCCCAACCCCAAAAAACCTATCCACACAGGTAGAAGATGAAACTATTTTGTAACTGAGTAAACATTAAATTCTAATGGGGTGGGCATTAGAAATGCCGCTCCCAAACTATGATCAAAGGAAGCACTCAGAGTCACTCAGCAAGGCAAAAAGAAAAGTTTACTTCTGCAGAAGGGTGCAGCTACAGACCAGAGTCTGATAGGCAGAACACACCTGGGTGGGAAGTCCACCCAGATTATATCCTGACACAATTCCCTGTCCCTCACGAGGATTGGGCCACACTTGAACTCACAACACTTGCAGCTAGCTATTGTTTGGGGTAAGCATAAGGTTTTCCAATGAAGTGACATTTTTATAATGAAGGTCCCCTGAAAATAGGGGATGGGACTGGGGGGGGCGGGCTGACATTTTACTCACTAAGAAGTTTAATATTAGGGTTGGGGAGATTAGCTGGCATCTACACATTAACTCCTTTGACAGAAAAGACCTAACTTTACTCACAGATGGAATTGTGGGCAACCCACTAAAGGAGTTACAAGAGGGAAACCCATTTCTTCCCAAAGCCAGTAGACACCACCCATCACATTATGTAGTGTTCTGGTTTGACATGAAGTGTCCCCCAGGGCTCCGTGCTGAAGGCTTTGTACACAGCTGGTTGCATTACTGAAAGGTGACTGGAATACAAGGGTGATACTGGAGCTTGTTTCTGAGCTCGTGTTTTGGTGTAGTTGATGACTAAAGACGTCGGACCAGGAGTTAAGAGTTAAAGTAAGCACAAAGTTTACTGAGAGGCTAGCAAAGGTAAGGGAGAGTAATGGAATGGTTTGAATGGACCAAGGTAATGTGTGGACACACATTGAGAAACCCTTTTAAACATCAACTTAAATAGGCACAGTGTGTGGGGTACCTGCGGAAGGGGGAGGTGAATGAGCGAGACGAAGGTGAGGGAATATGGGACAGACTTCATACACTTACATGAAATAAAACAAAGAAACCTCTTGCAATTGCTTTAAGTGGGTGCGGAGGGAGTTGAGGGGGACAGACGATGAGGACGATATAACGAATGTATAATACAGAATTGTCATTATATCCTAATAAAAAATTTTTTAAAAAATAGCAAAGCACCCTCACAGGTGGGACTTAGTGAAAGAGCTAAACCAAAGGATGGCTGAAGCCCACGAGATCCCTAATTTAGCAGTCCAATTAACCCTATCCTTATCAAACTGAACATTCCTAGAAGGCCTTGTTAGTCCATCCGGTCCCTGAAACCTGCTTTAAGGGGTTTATATTTTATCTCTTTAGATTCTAGTTTTGTCTTTAAGAATGCTCCTCTATCTTTCCTTTTTTTTTTTTTTTTAAAGAAACTGAGTCTCTCTCTTTTTTATTTTTTTGGTGGTACTAGGGTTTGAACTCAGGGCCTCATGCCTGGTAGGGCAGGTGCTTTACCACTTGAGTCACACCACCAGCCCAAGAATGCTCCTTTATCTAAGACAAAGTTACTTGTGCCATTAGTTTCCTTTACATTCCCAAAGCCATTTATGCCGTTTATCCTTCCTTGTTGTCTGTTCCCCTCACAAGGGTACTAGCTAGCTTCATTCATGGAACTCACTGGTGAGTTCATAGCTGACTGTATAACAGGTACTTAAAAACTACTCTTGCTGAAAAGCACTGACTGCATACTAGGGCCTGCTAATGTCCAAAGGGTAAAAAGCAGGATAAAAAGTTAACATCTCTGCTTCCATTTTGTATCTGTGCCATTCTCTCCTACAGTCACCTTGCAACCACCTTGGAAGGCAGGCCTATTTATGAACATCTTGTGATGGGGGGGTTGAAGCTCCTCCAGGCGACAGACTTTCTTATGTGGCCAGGCCCTGCCTGACCAGTCCTGACATTAATAATGAGCAAGCAGATCTCGCTTTTGACCAACAATCACACTTCGACCAGGACTGTTTAATTACACACACCTTTCGCCCTACTGCCCCAGTTCTTTCTCTATTTAAACCTAAAGCTCATGTCTGTATCCCCAAAATGGGCTGACATGCTTACTTTGTTGTGTGTGTGTGTGTGTGTTTTGGTGGTACTGGGGTTTGAACTCAGGGTTTCATGTTTACTAGGCAGATGCTCTACCACTTGAGTCATTCCACCAGCCATGTTTTGTATTGGGTATTTTCGAGACAGGGTCTCCGAACTATTTGCCCAGGCTGGCTTCAAACCAGGATCCTCCCTATCTCTGCCTCTAGTAGCTACGATTATAGGCTTGAGCCATGGCACCAAGCCTCCCACGACACACTCATACCTAATCATCTCTGCCCTTAACCACTATTTGCCTCCTTATTTTGCAAAGTGGGGAGAGTGGCCAGACCTGACACATAGGAAGCCCCAGAGTTGGGTCTCTTGCCTAGGACCCAGTTACAAATGAACTATTAGAGCCTCGTGCTGGTGGGCTCATCCCTGAAATCCCAGCTACTCAAGAGGCAGAGATCAAGAGGAGGGAGGCTTGAAGCCAGCCTGGGCAAACAGTTCCCAAGACCCTATCTCAGAAAAAACCCAAAACAAAAAAGGGCTGGAGGAGTAGCTCAAGTGGTAGAGCACCTGCCTAGCAAGTATGAAGCAGTGAGTTCAAGCCACAATACTGACAAAAACAAACAAAAACAACAACAAATGAACAATTAGGAGATGAGACCTAATTGAGGGAAGTAGGTCATTGGGCCATGCCTTTGAAGGGTGTTATCACACACACACACAGCTGACATGAGGTGAGTAGCTTTAGTCCACCACACTCTCCACCTCTTCAGGCCCAGAAGCCACGTGTGCATAAGGGTAAGCTGACACAAGCTTTTCCTCCTTTAAATAGTTTTCTCAGGCATTTTGTCACAGCAAGGAAAAGTGACAAACACAGGTAGCTTTTGCAACCTGGGAGTCAATTGACAAGTTAGGCCTTTGTCCTCCCAGGAAACTGAAAGACTGGACTTTAAGTCTCTTGACAAATAACATTGGAAAGAGATGGCCTCCAGGCAACATTCCGGACTTGTGTGTGGCCATAAGCTTATTTAGCCATTAAAAGGCCTTGAATGAGCGCTAGAGGTGTAGCTCTAGCAGTAGAGCACCTGTTAGCAAGCATGAAGCCCAGGGTTCAAACCCCAGAACCACCAAAAAACAAACCTTGGTGCCAGTGCCTCACACTTGCAATCCTAGTTACTCAGGAGATAGAGATCAGGAGGATCGCGGTTCCTGCCAGCCCAGGTAAATAGTCCGGGAGATCCTATCTCGAAAAAACCCATTAAGAAAAAAAAGGGCTTGTGGTGTAGGCCCTGAGTTCAAACCCCAGTATTGCAAGAAAAAAAAAACCAAACCTTGAATGTATTTAAAAGGGGAGAAGAGAAATTCTCAAAGAAATGTTTGCCCAAGAAACACTCAAGCCCTACCTCTAACTTGTACTTTTTTTTCCATCTGAATCCCTTGTCCCTCAAGCTAGTCCCACAGGTAGACTGTCCATTCTTAAATCCATGACATCCGGGTCACCCCAAGTCTGTGCACCGGCCCCCCGCAAGCCCCACCCCTCGGGACGCAACCCGCCCCTTAGTCCTTTACGGGACTCCGGTCGGGCGGAAGAGATAACTCCAGCCTCCGGGTCAATAAGGAGACGCAAATGGCTGTGCACACTCCACTTAGGACAGGCAGAGGTCTGAGTCTCTAGCTCCCACCTCCAGTACCTATGGCGCTGGCCGGAGAGATCACGTGGCGCCGGCGCGCGGTTCGGGGGCGGAGTCTGCGCGGTGACGTCGCGATGCGCAGCGGCGTGAGCAACGTGCGTGCTTCGTATCTGTGGCTGGTGGGTTTCTCTTGGCTATTTTCATTATCCGCTGCCATCGAGGATTCCAGGGGTGCCGGTCCTGTCTTTAGATCGGGTGGAGATTGTAAGGTTCGGAGGTCGGTGGCGGATGGCACGAGAGGCCATGCTGTCTGGGGTTAGGGCGCCAGCGGCGCTAGAGCCCAGGCAGCCGCGCGTGTTCGGAATGTAGACTCATGGGCTACGTACGGGGAAACACGCCGTGCTTCTGAGGGTCTCCTTCCGGAGAGAAGTGGGGTGCATGGTGCGTCAGAGCACTGTGGGTGACCTGGAGGGATGGGACCTGTGACCTTGTGGGAGACCTGCAACAAGACATTCTTGCACCGGTGCCTCACGCCTGTTAATCCAAGCTGCTCGGGAGGATCGAGGTTCAAGGCCAGCTTCAGGCAAATAGTTTAGGAGACACCCCCCCCACACACACACCCCCGCCCATCTCCAAAATAACTAGAGCAAAATAGACTGGATGTGTGACTCAAGTGTTAGAGCACCTGCTTTGCAAGCAGGAGGCCCTGTGGTCAAACCCCAACCAAAAAAAACCTAAGGAATTCAGGCTGGGTTTATTTTGGGGGGGCATGCTAGAACTGGTTGATAAATCAGAGGCCTAGGCTGGAGCTGATTACATTTGTTATCCTCTAGGTGGGAGTCATGGCCAGGTGGACTGACCCACAGCAGCTACTCTGGAAGAAGAATAGGTAAGTCACCTTGTGAAGGCATTTTTTTTTTTTTTTAAGTGAACCCATATTTCTCTGAACCATTCCTAATGAAAAGAGTCCTGTAGCCATGGGCTCCTGGAACCAGGCTCATTGTGTCTAGTTCAGCCCCCCAAGGTCCTGAGGTGGGTGCCAGGGGAGAACATGTGCTAGGGTGTGGGGGATTGGGTGAATGTGGGTAGCAAGCCTCCAGCGTGCTAGGGTCTGCCGTGACCTGTGCATTCCTACAGTGCTTGCCAGAACAGTTTTGAGATGGTTTGAGGCCTTGCCCTGCTTCCTCCAGAGCAAGGTTATAGAAATTTCAGACAGTTCATTGCCTGCTCCTTTATTGTAAAGATCTTTGATGTGGCAGCCATTTGACACATAAAGTAAAATTAAAAGTAAATTTGAAATTCACTTTCTTCACAGTAGCCTCATTTCATGAGCACAATAGCCACAAGTGGCAAGAAGAGTTTATTTATTTATTTTTGCAGTACTGCAGTTAGAACTCAGGGCCTCCACCTTGAGCCACTCCACAAGCTCTTTTTTTTGTGTGTGTGTCTGTGTGTGTGATGGGTTTTTTCGAGAGAGGGTCTCTTGAACTATTTTCCCAGGCTGGCTTTGAACCTCAGTCCTTCTGATGTCTGCCTCCTGAGTAGCTGGGATTACAGGCATGAGCCACGGGCGCCCAATGTGGCAAGAAGTTTTGAACAGAGCTAGTATAAGGCAAAGGAAGCTACTGAATGCTTGCTATGCTGCAGGCTCAGTACTAATTTTATTATGCCCTTAAAATCATTACAACCAGGCCCCAGTGGCTCATGCCTGTAATCCTAGCTACTCTGGGGCAGAGATCAGGAGGATCACCATTTGAACCCAGTGCAGGCAAATAGTTCACAAGACCCTATCTCAAAAAAAAAAACCCATCACAAAAAAGGGCTTGCAAAGTGGCTCAAGTGGTAGTGTGTGGGGTCCTGAGTTCAAATCCCAGTACTGGAAAAAAAAAATGCTTTACAAAAGTTGGAAATGAAGCCCAGAGGAGTGATGGTGGTAGGAGTGCCAGAGCAGAAAGAGTAACAAGGAAGAGCCCTGCACTGAGAGACTGGCCGTAAAGAGTATTTGCAGTTAGAAGGCAAACCCAAGAAAGTCAAGGGTTCAGCTCCGCAGAGGGTCCAAGTGCCTGGAGCTGATAGAGGGCAAGGTGAGTGTGTCCTAATCCTACAGGACTGCCTCAAGACAGTAAAGGTGCTGTTGCTGGTGAGAGACCTGACTTGTACCAGAATCCCCCTGCCATACACACTGGGGGTTAAACCCAGGGCCTCATGCAGGGAAAGCAAGTGCTCTACCACCGGTACCATACCCCTAGCCTTTTTGTTTGTGTTTTAGGTTTGAGATAAGTCTTGGTAACTTTTTGACAAAGTTGGCCTCTAACTTGTGCTCCTCCCACTTCCGGAGTACCTGGGGTTAGAGGCGATTACCCACCGCCCCTGGCCATGCCAGATCTTAGTTTTTCACCTGCATTAAACGTTGAGCATCATGATGGGTGGTTTTAGGTCAAGTGCGGATGGGGCCATGAGTTATGTGCCTGCACTTGCCCAACTAGAAACTGGCAGGTTGAGATGTGATGCCTGACTTCTCTAGCACTACCCTATACTCTGCGGCAGATATGGGAGGCTGAATGGAATCCAAAAGAGGGTAGGAAGTTCGGGTGGAGGAAAATGCCCCCATTTCTTGTGGTGTCAGGTTCACTGGGAACAGAAGGTGGCATGGGAAGTTGCCATTGTACTGAGGGCACCAACAGCACAGCTCTGTGTTCCTCTGGGCTGAGCGGCACCTTTTCTCTTGGAGGTCAAGAGTTGCAGCTGAGTGACTTTTGAGCGCAGGAACAGTTGGTGAGCACCCCGGCCTTGGCATCAGGAAGCCTCTGGTCTTGTGCTTCTGCAGTCTGGTGAGTGGACATTGGCTGCCCTTTCTCCCAGATGTTTTTTCAGAAATGTTTGCAGCAGTCCTAGAATGTAAGAGCTGGTGTCTTTCTCCCAAGAAAAGAGCAGGTGTGCTTCCTTGTCCACTTGGGATTGGCACCCCCTGCGTGTGCCTGTGACTTCAGACTGCCCTGTGTTACCCTGCAGGGACTGGGGATTGAGAGTAGTGGGAAAGGCTGATCCTCTGGCTACTGCTTTTCCTGTGAATCACTGTCCTTTGTTTCTAATGGAGTTTTTTGGGTTCTTTGTTTGAGACAGGGTCTTGAGACGGATGGCCTTGAACTTGCAGTCCCACCTAAGCATCCCAAGTGCAGGGAGTATGGGCATGCACCACCACACCTGGCACGTTTTGTATTTTCTGCTGGCATCTGAGGACTTGGCAGGTTACCTACCTTATTATGTACAAGGGGCATTTCAGGCCTTCTAGTTCTGACATCCGCCTCCCCAGTGGGTGCACCCAGTGTTCCTGTCTGAGCACAGGGCAAGGTGAACCCTTCGTGGCTGGCTGGCTGCCCTGAGAAGCCAGTGCAGGAGTAAGTGAGTGTGCGGGGAGCTCTACCAGTAGCTCACTTCTGGCTTAATGTTTATTTGGTTTTTTGGTTTGGGTGGTATTAGGGTTTGAACTCAGGGCTGCAAGCCTCCTAGGGGTGCACTCTACCACTTGAGCCACTCTGCCAGCCCTGGCTTATGTTCATTTTCCCTACTCTGACCTTGCTGTGTCAGAAGTTAGGTGATGAGCCCTGGGAAGTTTGTCTTTAGGCTCACAGACTCTTTGGAGGTGGTTGTCTCATATCTGGGCTCATGGGACCCTAGTTCTTGGGGATATTTGACTGCCTTTGTGGTCTGGATTGAACCTACAGGAGGTCAGTGTGTCTGCTGGGGTGGGCATGGATGCTGGGCAAAATGCAAGCCCAGGCCTTGGGTCACTGAGGGTGGGGTCAGGAGGGATCTTGGTTTGTGGTGGTTGTGTTGTGTCAGTTTTTAACAGCGTACCTGGTGTTTCTAATTTCGTTTTTACAGATGATGGATACTGAAAAAGCAGGCTTGACCACACTGACACCTGTTAAGTGGAATAAGGGAGTTTGAAGCCTCCCTCAGCCTTCTAGATGTCAGCAGCTCTGGTTGTGGCCCAGGCTGATGTGTTTCAGACAGACTTCTGTGATCAGGTTTGGGTCCCAAACCTGAGGTTCTCTGCTTTTGGAATAAAGAGTCTGGCTGCCTTCGGCCCTGGTATCCTCTGAGTGAAAAATGAGATATTTAATAAACACGGCTTTAAATACAATTCATCCCGGATTCTTTTTGTGCCAGGTGTAGAGGTTATGAAACCTCTTGAGGGCATGATGAGTCCCCAGGGAGCCCACCTGTTGCCATTCTCTCCTGCCTCGAAAATGGCCACTTGGGATTTATAGACCACCTTATGTGTGCTCCACCTGACTGAGCTTGACTAGGCACATTGGGGTGGTGGACACCACAGAGCAGTGACTACCAGCCAATCTTGTGGTGGGAGTGATGGGGTACACAGAGGAACTGGGGTGGGGAATCACTTAGGCTGATGGGATCTGTCTTTTCAGATACACTGGTATTCAACTGAGGTCAGAAAGTACAAGAAACCCCAGGTAGCTTGCTCTTAGTGGAAAGTAGGCATAGACCCTCACAGGTTGCACCCACAGGGCAATTCATCCAGCTTGATGACACTGCTTCCTGTCATCAGACAAGGCCACGGTCTCAGCTGCAGCTGTGGGGTTGTGACTCCCTACATTTCTTGGTCAGGTCTAGGTTGGGAGCAGCACCTTACTAGCTCTGTGGTCTGTAGGTACAATGCAGAGCTTCAGAGCACTTCGAAGCCATTCCTCTACAACTGATCCCACAGTATATCCTCAAATGAGGTCAGATCAGTTTTATAGTTTTTTTGTTCATTTGGGTTTTTTTTTTTTTTTTTTTAATTAACGCCTTACAAAGCAGGTGTTTGAGCCACACACCTCTAGTCTGTTTTGCCCTGGTTATTCTGTAGGTGGGGTTTCTGAACTATTTGCCTAGTCTGGCCTTCAACATGGATCCTCTTGACCTCAGCCTCCTAAGTAGCTATGATTACAGGTGTGAGCCACCATGCCTGACTCAAATAAGTGTTTTGTTTTGGTGGTAATAGGGTTTGAACCCAGGGCCTCACACTAGGCAAGCACTCTACCACTTGAGCCACTCTGCCAGTCCTTTTTATGTTTGTTTTTGAGAGAAGGTCTCGATACTTTGGCTTCAAACCACAATCTTCCTGATCACTGCCTCTCAACTAGCCAGAATTACAGGCACGAGCCACTGGCACATCCTTCAAATAAACTTAATGCAGATCCGAAATTGAGATTCAGTTGTGTAGGATTGTTCCAAGGGAGTGCCCTACCTGGCACCAGGGAGTGCTACTGAGGGCAGCTGCAGAGCTAGCAGGCTGTGGCAAAAGGGGCAAGGGCACAGGGAGGTATCCTGTAAGTGATCTAGATGAGATAGTAAGAGTGCCTGGCCGCCAGGGTTCCCCAACACGCCTGAGTGGGTGGTGGCCCCCACCCTGTTGCCTTGCCCTCATTCCTGCCATGTTTGCTGAGCCCTGCTAGTCTGACCATATAAGGAACATGGCCAAGGAATGTCCCAAACAAGCCTACCACTTGTACTGCCTGCTGAGGACCAGGCTGAGAGTGACCATCTGGCCATTCCCTTGAATCAGAACAGGAGCCACTGAACTGCTGGAAAGACTCAGCAGTTGGTCCAGCCCAGTAAAGAGCTTCCCTCCTGTGACGTCATCTCTGGGCCCAGGCTTCAATAGATGAGGAATGAGAATGGCAGTAACTCTTGAGTGGGTCATGGGAATCCAGTGAGGCAACAGGAGGTGAACAATTGTGCAAAACCCTGGGGTGGAGGAGGTTCAGTCATGATTAGGGCTCCACCCAGGGTCGCCCAGCAACCAGTGTCTGTAGCTCCACCCACAGGCCAATCTCTGAACTAAAAAAGGAGCTTGACATTTTTTAAGTGGTTAGAGGAAGAAAACCCCAAAAGTACTATTTCATGACAGATGAAAAATTTTATGAAGCTCAAATTTCAGTGTTGCTAAGGTTTTCCTGGAACTCAGCCATGTCAGTTCTTTTAAAATCAGTAATATAAACCCCAGGTCTGGTTGACTCCCTCAGGGTTGGGGAAGTGAAACTGAAAAGGGAGCTGAAGGTGGGAACCCCCAGACTGCCGCTTAGGTTTGGAAAACCCTTCAAAAGCACCACCCAAGAGGCTGGGGGTGCAGAGGGGGCCTCCCTAGTCAGAGCTTCGAAGGATCAAACAACCCTGAACTTGTCTAAGAAGAGTGTCAGGCCGGACCCAGCCCTATTTTTTTTAGTTGGTGGGGGGTCAGTTCTGGAGTTTGAACTCAGGGCCTCATGCTTGCTAGGCAGGCACTGTTATCACTTGAGCCACTCCACCAGCCTTTTTTTGTGATTTTTTTTTTTTTTTTTTTTTTTTTTTGGATAGGGTCTTGAGAACTATTTGTCCAGGCTGGCTTCGAGCCAGAGATCATATCTCTGCCTCCTGAGTAGCTAAGATTACAGGTGTGAGCCACCTACACCTCAGAGTCCTGTTTTTGGATCTGGAGAATTTTCAGGGCCATGACTCCTTATTGCTCGTGGTACCTAGTTTGACCAGGTTGTTAGATAAGCGCTTGCAATTTTATTAGATATATTTCCTTTTAAGGCATTTTAGAGAAAAAAAATTGCTTTATCAATTTAAAGCCTAAAAAATGAAATAATTGCCAGGTACCAGTGGCAAATAATTGGTGGGAGACCTATCTCAAAACAACCCATCACAGAAAAGGGATGGTGACGTGGGTCAAGGTGTAGGCCTTGAGTTCAAGCCCCAGTACTGCAAAAAAATAAAAAACAAGGAAATTAAATGATTGAAGCACGATTGTTAAACAAGTGTCTGTGAATACAAATCTCAAAGGTGCCACATGAGTGACTCAAGTTTGGGAACACGGAATTCTACCATCTAGCCTCCCTGCCATCTAGCCTTCCTGAAGGAGAGGAGAGATGATAGGCCCATCCAGGCCCACCCTGGCGGGGAGGACTGGCCTACTGCATAAGAGCAGACCCCTGCAGTCAGGAGTACTGCTTGGGAGACCAACCTGAACCTTGACAAGGTGGACTGCTTCCTAAATATGTTGCTATATCTACAAACTCCATGATGACAGGCTAAGATCCCTAGGAGGTGTGGCCTTGTCTTCATAAGGCTGGATGGAGAGAGAAAGCCAAGGATGGGCACAGGGATCCCATCACAGGCCAGGCCCACCAGAGGAATCCACAGAGTCCTCTGCCCCTGCCTGGTCACTGGGGTGGGGAATTGTGTGTGGCAAGTCCCCACTGCTGGCCCCTCTGAGGGTTAGACAAGAAGCCTCTAGTTTACTCCTCACTGTGGCCCCCAGTCCCAAAGACCTGGGAATCAGTACCCTTTTCCATTTTTTGTTAAGGTATAATGTTCACTTGATAAAATTCAACTACTGTTGACTTCTAATATGACAGACACCTCCAGCTGGGTAACCAGACCAAGTCAAGAAATCTTTCTTTAGCCAGGCGCTGATGGCTCCTGCCTGTAATCCCAGCTACTCAGGAAGCAGAGATCAGGAATATTATAGTTTGAAGTCAGCCTCAACAAATAGTTTGCAAGACCCTAGGACAATAAAAGGTCTAGTGGAATAGCTCAAGGTGGAGGCCCTGAGTTCAAACTCCAGTTCCAAAAATAAATAAACAAACAAACAAACAAACAAATAAATACTAAAAAAGTTCCACGGGTGACTCTGGTGTCTGCCCTGCATGAGGGTGGCCTAGCTCTTTTGAGAAGGCCAGCAAGGGCCCTCCAGAGCAGGGAGGACCCTTCTGCACAGGCTCTCTTGGGTTCAGGCAGCAGGAAGCAGCAAGCGAGCACCCCTGGGGAGGGAGCAGCAAAGGCGCAGGGCTGCCCTCCCAGGGCCAGAACCCACTTCCTACTTCACCGCAGAGCTGCAGGAGGAGTCTGGCTGGGGCTGGGCCTCCCCTGGCCTCCCCTCCCCTCTGCTTCTTGTACAGAAAGAAAGGTCAGGGCTCCTGGCCTGGGTGTTTGCAGTGGGCAGGATGGAGGATGAGGAAGGCCCCGAGTATGGCAAGCCTGACTTTGTGCTCTTAGACCAAGTGACCATGGAGGAATTCATGAAGAACCTTCGGCTCAGGTAGGCTCGGGAATGGAAGGGGACACTGAGCGTCTTTCCTCCCGCACCTCCACCTCTCCTGCTCACTAACCTGAGGCACATTGGTCCCCATCATGAAGAGGACAGGGGCAAACACAAAGCATGCCCCAGGAGGTAGATAGTGGCCACCCAGAAAGTGATCCCCCTTCAGGGCTGGAGCTGCCCTCTTCCACCTCCCAAACCACTCAAATGCTCATTGCCCTTTCCAGTGATAGAACTGGAGCATGAGTCTCCTGGGACAGACAAGCAAAGGCACTAGGGCCAGGAGCTGTGCTCTCCTGCCCCTGTCCTTGTCCCTGATCTCTCCCTTGTATCTCATGTGGGGACCATGAAGTGGGCAAGCCAAACAATTTTAACACAGTGAGATGATGCTCCTCGGGGATTCGTGAGGTGTCACAGGACTTGACTGGTAGAGTTGACATTGGAGCCCACGTTGCTGCTGAGGAGGGTAGACAAAAGGCAGGAAGGAGCACCAGAGCTGGGGGGCACAGCACACCAGGTGGCCTTGTATACAGCTGTCTCAATGCCTGCCTGCCAAGCAGGTTTGCTCTGTGCTGGGAAACTCCCTGGGGGAGTCTTGGGGACCAGGAGCCCCACTAAACACAGAGGCAAAGAGGCTATGATCCTGACTCCAGGAGAGGGCTAGGCAGGACATGAGTTCACTGCTTTGGGCTCCTTTTGTCTGCCTGTAACACTGAGTCTGGAGAGGACCGTAAGGCCCAGGCCACACGGCTTGCAGGCTTGCAGGAGGGTGAGAGTTGAGCCCCAGGGAGCGCCCATGTCAGAGGTGGCAGAGGAAGAGGAACCCCGACAGGGCTGCCTGGGGAAGGGCGGGTCCCACACACCAAGGGGAATTGAGCAAAGGAGCAGGTGGGCCACTTCTCCTCCCAAGGGTAGACAAGCCAAGAGAGGTTCAGGCTCCCACTGGTGACTTCATATATGAAGGGCAGGGTAGGGAAGTTGGGAGAGGGGCATGGCCATGGCTGGGGACAGAGAGACAGCAAACAGCAGGCGCAGGCACTGAGGCTCCAGCCCCTCCCTAAGGTCTGGGTGGGGTAGGGCGGATCCCCTTCCGTCTCTAGTTCCCGCCCTGGGCCCTGACACAGGAAACAGCTGAGGCACCACCCTCCCCTCCTATGGAGCCCCTTCCTCTCAACAGCATTAACCCAACTGCCCTGCAAGAGCCAGTTTTGACCCTGCTGTGCCTGGCACAAGTTGGTTCCCTTTGCAGGATGAATGGTCACTGGCTCCTGGGACCCCAGCACCCCTGTAGAGAGCAGTACAGGACCCTACACTCTACACCATGGCAGGGCACAGCTTTGCATGACTCAGCTCACCCGGGATGGCCCCAGAGGGACTCAAACCACAACCCCCCTCTCCCTTCCCTATGCTCAGCCCTTCCTGGTGGGGACACTGGCTATACATGGCCGTAAAGCTGAGACCTTGCCCTGTGTCCAGGTTTGAAAAGGACCGTATCTACACCTACATTGGCGAAGTGCTAGTGTCCGTGAACCCGTACCAGGAGCTCCCCTTATACGGTCCCGAGGCCATCGCCAGGTATCAAGGTCGTGAGCTCTATGAGCGGCCACCCCACCTCTATGCTGTGGCCAATGCCGCCTACAATGCCATGAAGCGTAGAGCCAGGGACACCTGCATTGTCATCTCAGGTAACTCCCTAAACCATGACTCATTTACAAGTGAGTTTCTCCCATGATCCGGGGTGCGGGTGGAGACGAGCGCTGGGCTAAGGGTACAGCCTGCAGATTCTGCTATCTCCTGTCCGTCTTCCCCGCAGGGGAGAGTGGCGCGGGGAAAACAGAAGCCAGCAAGCACATCATGCAGTACATCGCAGCGGTCACCAATCCTAGCCAGAGGGCAGAGGTGGAGAGGTGAGCACCTTTGGGTTCCATCAGGGCAGGTACCTTTATGCTGAGGGGAAGCAAGATATGGGAGCTGGAGCCAAGCTCGGGCCAAGTTCAGTCAGGAAGATCCCAGGTCACTTCTCACATCCTGAGGCATAGCTGGGACAAGGTCCTCTCAAATGTGGGTTGGAAGGTGGGGTCAGGCACCTGTGGCTCACACCTGTAATCCTAGCTATTTAGGAGGCAGCAGGTGGATCATGGTTCAAAGCCAGCCAGGGCAAACATTTTGTGAGACCCTATCTCAAAAAAAACCATCACCAAAAAAAGGGCTGGTGGAATGGCTAAGTACCACCAAAAAAAAAAAAAAGGTGGGGGGGAAGGGGGGGCAAGACCCAACCAAGCTGTGTAAGCTGTTAGCTGCAAAGGTGGTGGGGTTAACAGTTGAGTGTGGAGAGTTATAGAAGATACCAGAAATGGCTCAGGACAAGGCAAGGATATCCCCAGAAGCCTGGAGAATTTGGCAGCCTTGTCAGTCTGGGTTACAGCCCACCTGCAGCTCTGCCTCCCCTCAGAGGTGTTCCACAAGCACCTTCCTGTATCTGAGGCCGACTCTTCCTATAGTGATGCTGAGGGATGGGGTCAGAGGGACCCCAGTAATGTTAGTTCCCAGAAGCCAAGCGATTGTCAGCAGCACTGGCAAGGTGGTATCCTTGGTCCCCCTCAGCCAGCTCCCTGGCCCATCTTGAGATGCTATGACTCCTGTAGGGAAGACTCAGGCAGGGTGCTGTTCACAGATGGGAGGGTCTTTGCCTTCAGCCCCAACCTGTCTGTCCACAGGGTCAAGGATGTTCTACTCAAGTCCACCTGTGTACTGGAGGCCTTCGGCAATGCCCGCACCAACCGTAATCACAACTCGAGCCGCTTCGGCAAGTACATGGACATCAACTTTGACTTCAAGGGGGATCCTGTTGGAGGGCACATCCACAGCTACCTGCTGGAGAAGGTGGGCAAGTGGGCTGAGGGGATCCTTCTTTCCCAGGCCTGGGGGCCCAAGGGGCTGGGAACATACTGACCGTGACATTGCAAGTTAGGAAAGCCGGGTCCTCTCTGTGGCCCTTCTTAGTGTCCCCATGGGCCCGGGCACTCCAAACCCCAGCCTCCCCTGTACTTGGGAATACTCAGATGGCCAGGCTGGAGTCCAGCTGCCTCTCTTACCTCAGTCTAGGGTCCTCAAGCAGCATGTGGGTGAGAGGAACTTCCATGCCTTCTACCAGGTAAGCCTCTGTAGGTAGGAAGGTGACTGGAGGGAGAGAATGAACAGGGAAGGGGAGGGGAGGGGAGCAGGCTGAGCCCACCTTCCACCCCTCCCTTGTTATTGTATTCTACTCTAACTGTCCCTAGCCAGTGTCCTCACCCCCCACCCACCAACCCATCCCAACCATCAGGCAGGCCTAGCCCCACACACCATTCCTGGAGAATGGAGGCAGGGTGTCCCCAACATCTCATACCCCAAGAATGTCAGAGCACTGTGGGATATGTGCAGTGTCTCCATGGGCTCTGAGCTCCACCTCCCTCCTGGCACATGGGAACTGTTCATACACCCCTGAATTTCCTCTGTGTCTGTTGGTTCAAGGCTGGAAGGAACAATATGTCTGTGTGTCCTCTGTGCCTCTGTGAAGGGTAGGGAGGGATAAAGGAGGGTCCTTGGAGCTCAGTGGCCTAACTAAGGAACATTTGTGTCTTGCAGTTGCTTAGGGGCAGTGAGGACCAGGAGCTGCAAGGACTGCACCTGGAGAGAAACCCTGCTCTGTATAATTTCACACGCCAAGGAGCTGGGCTCAATATGGGTGTGCACAACGTGAGTGCAAGGAGCTCAGGGCTCAAGCGGGCTTAGCTCCAGGGTCCTGGGATTGGGGGCAGGGAATGGGCAGCAATTGGTTCAGGCCAGAGAGGTGTCAACAGCTCAGGTGAGTACAGAGAGTAGAGGGAAAATAGCTCAGGAAGGAGCAGGGTGAGCCTGGGATGGAGGACTCTGTGTCTAGGGAGGCCAGGTGTCCTGGGCCCACACTGGTGAGGATGGTGAACTCCCTCTCCTCCAGTCCATGGACAGTGATGAGAAGAGCCATCGGGCAGTGACCGAGGCCATGAAGGTCATCGGCTTCAGTCCTGAGGAGGTGGATTCTGTACATCGCATCCTGGCTGCTATATTGCACCTGGTGAGCCTGGTTGGGAGGGCCACCTCCCCACAAGGGTGTCCCGCTAGGAGCAGCCAGGGATGAGGACTGGACTTCTGAGCTATCCCAGCAAAGTCAAAGCTGTGGTTCCCCCATGACTGAGGCTGAGGGGCTGGCAATAAGTTCAGTGGGTACCTGGTCAAGAGCCAGGATCCCAATCTGCAGTGCCATGAGTGACAGCCGAGCATGGAACACACATGGAGTACACTTGGTGCCGTGGTGGTGGAGCTGTTCCTTGGCGCCTATCCTCCCTTGAGAGGCACGGGAAGTAAGTCCCAGGGTGAGAGTCCTTACAGAAGGCTTTAGAATGCTATGGCTGTGTCTGTGGTCTAGTGACATGCTTTCTAGGTCCCCGCATCCACATCCCCTGCCTCCCTTCCTTCTCCCTTCCTTGAGAAGATGGAGCCTGCACTGTTCATTATCCCCTTGTTGCCAGGGAAACATTGAGTTTGTAGAAACAGAGGAAGATGGGCCACAGAAGGGAGGCATAGCTGTGGCCGAGGAGACGCTGGTGGGCCACGTGGCAGAGCTGACAGCCACGCCTCAGGACCTCGTGCTCCGTTCCCTGCTGGCCCGCACTGTGGCCTCAGGTGGCCGAGAGCTCATAGAGAAAGGCCACACTGTGGCCGAGGCCAGCTATGCCAGGGATGCCTGTGCCAAGGTATTCCTGTTGTGGTTGGAGAGGGATCCCAGGGAGCCTCTATAGGGGAGGCCAAACTGGTAGCAGCAAGAAAGTGACAATGTCATGTCCATTCCAGGCAGTGTACCAGCGGCTGTTTGAGTGGGTAGTGGACAGAATCAATGGTATCATGGAAGCCAGGGACCGAGACCCTCGGCGCGACGGCAAGGACACAGTCATTGGTGTGCTGGACATCTATGGCTTTGAGGTGTTCCCTGTCAATAGGTGGGCAGCCCAGCCAATTGCATTCCCCCTCTGATCCTCGCCTCCAACCAGTGTGGTCACTGCAACTCTGATCTGGATTCTCACACTGGGCACTGGTGACTTGTGTTTGTAATCCTAGCTACTCAGATGTCAGGGATCAGGAGGAGTGTGGTTCAAAGCCAGCCCAAGCAAATAGCCAGACCCTATCTTGAAGATACCCAACATACACACATACAAAGAAACCAGCCCTTTGGCTGGTGGAGTGGCTCAAACCCCAGTAACTGCAAAAAGAAAAAGCTCTGGATTCTCTGACTGGTCCCCAGGCCCCAAAGCTCATACCCATCCAGTCAGCCTTGTCTGTGCACCCTGTGTAGAAGGCAACATTTTGGGGTTCACTTCTCCCAGTGGTGAATCCTAAGTTCACCCCAGAACGTATACATGGGGTGGGAGCACAGAACCCACAGCAAAGCCCCAAGGTGTCCTAGTGCAGAGAGAGGTGTTGGGGGAAGGGCAGCCACTCATCCCCATTCCCCTCCTGGGAGCGAGAGCTCCTCTGAAGGCCCCATCACCCCCAGCTTCGAACAGTTCTGCATCAACTATTGCAACGAGAAACTGCAGCAGCTCTTCATCCGACTCATCCTGAAACAGGAGCAGGAGGAGTACGAACGAGAGGGCATCACCTGGCAGAGCGTAAGCACCCTGATACTGCTGGGGGGTGGCAGGGGACAGGCCTGGCCAGCACTGAGCAGGGGAGGTGGCTGCCGCTGCCAGGATGGTTTCAGGAGCCTCCCTGCTGGCTGCCTCCCAGGTCGAATACTTCAACAATGCGGCTATCGTAGAGCTGGTGGAGCGGCCCCACCGAGGTATCCTGGCTATACTGGACGAGGCCTGCAGCACCGCGGGCCCCATCACTGACCGCATCTTCCTGCAGACCCTGGACACGCACCACCGCCACCACCCGCACTACTCCAGCCGCCAGGTGCTCCACCTGTTCCTCTGTAGGCACAAAGGCTGCTTGCTAGGATATGGCACAGAGGTGTCTCAAAGCCTGTGCCTCTTGGGGCTTTGGTGGGACCTAGCTTGGTGCCATTGAGGTCACTGGGGAAGTCCCTCTGCCCAGGTAGGGTGGCTGCAGGATGGTCCCCTCACAGAGATCACAGTCCTTCCCCCATCTTCTGTGTTTTGATCTTGGCCTCTCCCATAGCTCTGCCCTACTGACAAGACCATGGAGTTTGGACGGGACTTCAGGATCAAGCACTATGCAGGAGATGTCACGTAAGGCCCAAACCTCATCCCCACAACCAATCCTGGGTTCCCACATGGGCACCTTTGCACATGTCACAGGGCAGGAGTGCTCTGAAGGAACAGCCAGGTCCCTTGCCCCTCACCAGAAGCACAGGTGCAGGCCAGTGGCTCCATTCCTAGAGGCATTCATATGGGAGCTTTCAAAAATACCCATGTCAAAGCCAGGCGCCAATGGCTCATGCCTGTAATCCTAGCTACTCAGGAGGCAGAGGTCAGGAGGATTATGGTTCAAAGCCAACCCAGGCAAATAGTTTCTGAGATCCTATCTCAAAAACCCTTCACAAAAATAGGGCTGGTGCAGTGGCTTAAGGTGAAGGCCCTGAGTTCAAGCCCCAGTACTGCCAAAAAAACCCCACCCGTGTCAGAGCAGGGTGCCAGTGGTTCATGCCTATAATCCTAGCTACCCAGGAGGCTGAGATCAGGAAGGTCAAGGTTCAAGGCCAGCCTGAGCAAATTGTTTTTAAGACCCTCATCTCCAGCTGGTCGCGGGTGGCTCATGCCTGTAATCCTAGCTATTCAGGAGCCAGAGATCAGGAGGATCAAAGTTTGAAGCCAGCTCAGGCAAATAGTTCGCAAGACCTTTTCACATAGCATGCTTCACCCAGCTCCCAGGACAGAAGGACGCAAAAGAATGACGAGGAAAGAGAATGAGATGAAAGGAGGGCAGGAGGGAGGAAGAGTCTGACCTATGAGAACATAGACAGGTGGGAGGAAGCAGGACCTTCCTAGGAGCTGTCAGTGTTTGAGAAGACCTGCAGCCCAGCCCCTGGTCCCCTCACTGGCCCCAACCCTGGGCAGGTACTCTGTAGAGGGCTTCATTGACAAGAACAGAGACTCCCTCTTTCAGGACTTCAAACGACTGCTATACAACAGGTGAGTGTGGATGCTGGAGGGCCAGAGCTGGGGCCTTTGGGGACTCTTGACCCCTGACTGAAAGATGGATAGCCTGAGGTTCAAGACCAAAGCCATGTAGCTCCTGGGCTACCCTGGGTAGGTGGGCTGCATCCCCACAGGATAGCTGGGTATACAGTCTGTGTCTGCAGCAAGGATCCCACCTTGCAAGCGATGTGGCCAGATGGGCAGCAGGACATCACTGAGGTGACCAAGCGCCCCCTGACAGCTGGTACACTCTTCAAGAACTCCATGGTGGCCCTGGTGGAAAACCTGGCTTCCAAGGTACACCCCCCCGCCCCGACCCTGGCCTTCTAAATCTTTCTCTCTGTGCCCTGGAAGGGGCACATAATGGAGGGGCATTCTCGTCCTGTTTGCTTGAACCCCATCTGTCCCAGTGGGTGCGCCACTCACTGCAGAGTTTAGCTGTGGGGGATCCAGAGCCAGGCTCCATCAGTCACCGAGCACAGGGTAGAATTTGAACCCAGCCCTTCCCTGGTGGGAGAGGCTGGGAAGTCCTGTGGAGGGCTTGAGTTGTCCCTAGTTGATAGTCACATGGGCAGGAAACTGACACTAGTTTTCTTGGAGAGCTTCAGGTTCAAAGTTAGAGAGGGAATCAGGGGGACATGGCTGGGTTTAACAACAGAATATCCAGAAAGCAGTTGCCAGTGGTTCATGCCTGTAATCCTAGCTACTCAGGAGGCAGAAATCAGGAGGATTGTGGTTTGAAGCCTGTCCGGGGAAATAGTTCGAGAGACCCTATCTCAAAAAAACCCATCACAAAAAGAGGGCTGGCGAAGTGGCTCAAGGTGCAAGCCTGAGTTCAAACCCCAGCACTGCAAGAGAAAAAAAAATACCCAACACAAAAAAGGGCTGGCCAAGTGGCTCAAGTGGTAGAGTGCCTGCGTACCAAGCATGAGGCTCTGACTTCAAACCCCTATACCACCAAAAAAAAAAAAAAAAAAACCAGAACATCCAGAGATGTCAGCCCCTCTCCAAAGAAAGAGGAAGGGTGGAGGTGGGTGTCTGTCCTTTCTCTCCTGGGCTATAACCTGGTTCGGTCACCAGAGCCTTCGTTCTGCAATGACTTCCCTTAGTCCAACTCTCAGAACCTGGGCTTTTGGGGGCCTGGAAAAGAGGTCACACAGCAGCCACGGGCTTGGGTCCCTGAGCCCCATCTCTCTCTCCCTACAGGAGCCCTTCTACGTCCGCTGCATCAAGCCCAACGAGGACAAGGAGGCCGGACGGCTGGAGGAAGGCCACTGTCGCCACCAGGTGTCATACCTGGGGCTGCTGGAGAATGTGAGAGTTCGCAGGGCTGGCTTTGCCTCTCGCCAGCCCTACCCTCGGTTCTTGCTCAGGTACAGGCAGTGGGCCATCACTCTGTGGGCCTCCCCACCCCCTCCTGAGGGCAGGTCCCCACTGCCCTCTCCTGTGCTGGCAGGTACAAAATGACCTGTGAGTACACGTGGCCCAACCACCTGCTGGGCTCTGACAAGGCAGCCGTGAGCGCCCTCCTGGAGCAGCACGGGCTGCAGGGGGACGTGGCCTTTGGCCACAGCAAGCTGTTCATCCGCTCGCCCCGGACGCTGGTCGCGCTGGAGCAGAGTCGAGCCCGCCTCATCCCCATCATTGTGCTGCTGCTGCAGAAGGTGCAGGGTGGGGAGGGGAAGGGAGGATGGGGTACCCAGCAGGGTGGTGAGGATAAGCATCAACATAGATCCCACTTGGGGTGTACATCCCGCCATGTGCCAGTGACTCATGATTATAATCTTAGCTACTTGGGAGGCTGAGATCAGGAGTTTAAGGCCAGCCTGGACAAATAGTTCTTTTTTTAATTTATTTTTTCTATTTTTTAATTTTTGGACAAATAGTTCTCGAGATCCCATCTCCAAAATAACCAGAGCAAAATGGACTGGAGGTGTGGCTCAAGCGGTAGAGCACCTGCTTTGCAAGTGTGGAGCCCTGAGTTCAAATCCCAGTCCCAACCACCCCTCAAAAAAAGTCCATGGACCTTACATTGCTATAAGACTTACCCTTTGTACACATGTACCTTTTAATCTGGGAGTCCCTGGTTACTATCTTGGTAGGCTATCTAGTTTGTGTCCTGGCAGTCACATTCTGGGGTGGTCCTCTGATTTCTCTGTCTTAGGGTCACCAAGGAGTGGTCAGGTGCCCTTTTAGGGGAGAAGGCACCTCTATTTTTTCCACCCCTCTTCTCACACAGTCTTGAGGCTCTGCCAGGCTTTTTTTTTTTTTTTTTTTTCCAATACTGGGGCTTGAACTCGAGACCTACACCTCAAACTACTCCACCAGCCCTTTTTTGTGGTGGATTTTTTGAGGTGGGGACTCAAAGACTATTTGCCTGGGCTGGCTTTGAACCTCAATCCTCTTGATCTCTGCCTCAGAAGTAGCTAGAATTACAGGCGTGAGCCACCGGCACCCGGCTTGCAGCGCCAGTTTTAGAAGCCTCTCACAGGCGGGCTCTTCTTATTTGAGAGCCTACCGAGCCTTGAGCAGGGCTCGCCCCACCTAGCTAGCCATAAGGCCCCCAGCCTACGGCTGGTTATGGCCCCTGGGAGCCTGGGGATGGGTTGGCCTCCCTGGAGACAAGACAGAGTGCTCAGGAAAGACTTAGGGCTGAGCTGAACCTGACCCTACGTCTCATTGCACCTGGCCTGCCCAGGCATGGCGCGGCACCCTAGCCAGGTGGCACTGCCGGAGGCTGCGAGCCATCTACACCATCATGCGCTGGTTCCGGAGGCACAAGGTGCGAGCCCACCTGGCTGAGCTGCAACGACGGTTCCAGGCTGCACGCCAGCCCCCCCTCTATGGCCGTGACCTCGAGTGGCCACCGCCCCCTGCTGTGCTGCAGCCCTTCCAGGACACCTGCCACATGCTCTTCTGCAGGTACTGTCCTCCATCCACTATGCCGTTCCTCACTCAGCCAGCGTCCTCTGAACACCCAAAACCATCATCCCAGCCCCGTGAGGACTTTGATAAGCAGGAAGATGGGACTGAGTCACATTAGATGACTGTCACATCCCATGGTTAGCAGCAGAGCCCTGATTGTCCCAGCACTGTGCTGGATATTCGAGTGCTAGCTATGACCTGCAGAGGGAAGAATGGCTAGTCAAGGCTGGGGAGTAGGAGTCTCTGCATTGGATTGGGGCCTTGAAGGCTGAGTAGGAATTCTCCAAGAGGAGGAACTCAGAATGTGTATGTTCACAGTGGGGAGGTACTGAGTGGCCAGGGGTGTCAGAGACAAGCATGGGCACCTAGGGCTGAGGCTAGGGAGGCTGGCAGAAGCTGGGACTCCAGGGACAGCCAGTATCAGATTGAGGACCAGGTTTCCTGGGGAAGGAGCTGGGGAGAGCACAGACACATGGGTCAGAATCCTCTGACTTACTGCTGTCCTCTTCTAGGTGGCGGGCCTGGCAGCTAGTGAAGAACATCCCTCCTTCAGACATGGTCCAGATCAAGGCTAAGGTGGCTGCCATGGGGGCCCTGCAGGGGCTGCGCCAGGACTGGGGCTGCCAGCGAGCCTGGGCCCGAGATTATCTGTCCTCTGTGAGTGTTGGGCAGGCCCATGTGGTAGTGGTGGTAGGAGGTGCTCATGGCTGACACTGTCCTCATCAGCTGTCCTGTCCAATCTTGAGGTGGCTGGCTTTTTGTCTGAGTCCTTGGAGGCTTAAGGGTTTCATCTGTCAAGCAGCCCCTAACCCTAAGAATCCCATGTTCTTGCAGTTACTGTCACCCTCATGTGTTCAGTACAGTCAGGGACATGTGTGCACCCCCCCACACCCACTTATACACACATACACTATCTCTGCATGGCTCCTTTAGCCCTCTCCTGGGCCTGGTGTAAAGGGTATGAGTCTGGGGACTTGAGGTTGTACCAGTCCATAGGTTCTGTGCACAGGGGCCAGGCCCCTAACCCATTCATTGCTGACTTCTGGAGACTTCTCTGCAGAGGTACACACAGTCAGGCCTGGGATAGAGCAGCAGAGGCTGAGAATAAATTGAGAGAGAAACTGAGAGTGACTCAGTTTCCCCAAGGTGAAGGATAGCTGTGGCAAGTTGCTGGGAGCTGCCATCAGTCACATGTGACCCTAGACCCCATCCCAAGAGAGCCCTCCCCTCCATCTGTTCTTAGGAAACTGACAACTCCACAGCTTCAGTCCTGTTTGCTGAGCGACTCAAGGCACTTCGGGAGAAGGATGGCTTTGAGGCTGTGCTCTTCTCTGGCCATGTCCGCAAGGTTAGCACCTGCTCTGGAGGCTGTGGAGGGCATGGGTTGGAGGGGCTCAGGAGAGACCTGATATAATCCCAGCCAAGGCCCAACTCTGCCTCTGAGACCCTGGAAACTGTCAGCATAGGCCTAGGCCAGTCAGTAAGGAGAAGGACCCAGGGAAGGGAGGAAATAGGGACTGTTGGGACCAGGAAGGGGGACAAATGTTACGGATCTGGATGCAGTCACCTCTCCTGCAGGTGAACCGCTTTCGAAAGAGCCGGGACCGGGCCCTCCTGCTCACAGACCGGTTTCTCTACAAGCTGGAGCCTGGCCGGCAGTACCGAGTGATGCGGGCTGTGCCCCTGGAAGCGGTGAGTACCACGTGTGGGGGATGGGAACCCGCCTCAGGGTGTTGGGGGGCCCACACACACTGCCTACCTGTGATGTCCCAGAGCATCCTAAAACCCAGGCAATGGATGGCGGCATCCCTCTGAAAACCATGGGGCAGAAGGTCTGTCCTCATCAGCAACATGGGCACAGCTACCTTGTCATCCACACATGCACATACGCGTATGCACACGCACACACACCATGCTCTTACACTGTGCCCAAGCCAAATGGGGTGCCCCCAACTTGAGCCTTTTTTGTGCTGGGTTTTTTCAAGATAGGATCTCTCGAACTATTTACTCTTTCTGGCTTTGAATCTTGATCCTCCTGATCTCTGCCTCCTGAGTAGTGAGGATTACAGGTGTGAGCCACTGGCCCTGGTCCCATGAGTTCTTTAGTTTGTTCTTTTTTTTTTTTTTGTGGGATGGGATTTTGAATTCAGGGCTTCATGCTTGCAAGGCAGGCTTTCTTCCACTCGAGCCACACCTCCAGTCTAATTTTGCTTGATTATTTTTGAGATGGGGGTTTCATAAACTATTTGCCCAGGGTGGCCTCAAACCTCAATCCTCCTGATCTCAGTCTCCCACATAGCTAGGATTACAGGTGTGAGCCACTGGTGTCCAGCTCCCAGGAATTCTTTCCCACAGTTTGAGTAGAAACCTGAGGCAGGGATCAAGGCTGAGTTACCTCTAAGTCTCTCATGCTTTTGGGGGGTCCTGGCCTGTCAGGATAGAAGGGCTGCTAACAGTAGCTGAATGTCAGTGAAGTGACTTAAATATTGTCAAAGTGAAATTAGAAAACGAAAAATTCTCCGGGCGGGCTCACACCTATAATCCTAGCTACTCAGGAGGCAGAGATCAGGAGGATCTCAGTTTGAATCCAGGCAGAGCAAATAGTTCTCAAGACCTGTCTCCAAAAAGCCCATCACACAATAAAAGGGCTGATGGAGTGGCGCAAGGTGTAGGCTCTGAGATCAAGCCCCAGTACCAGAAAAAAAAAAGTCCAAACAGAACTGGTAGAGTGGCTCAAGTGGTAAAGCATCTGCCTAGCAAGTGTGAGGTCCTGAGTTCAAACCACAGTGCCGCCACAAATAAATAAATATTATCAAAGTGAAATAAAAAATCTAAAACCTCAGCTCTTTGCTCACCAAAGCATATTCCAGTGAGCAGGGGCTGCTGCATCAGATGGCAAGGGTCTAGAATTTTCCATCACAGCGGAAACTCCAAAGGCATGATGCCCTGCCCTCCACTCCCCCACTGTCAGCAGAGACCAAAGCGGGAAGGCAGAGTTGGAAGGGGGGAGTCTGGATGTTGGAGCTGACCCACTACCAAGGGCAGAGCTCACTAGGAGATGGCCTGCTGTGCCCTTGACTCCAGCTCCCCCTACTCAGGTGACTGGGCTGAGTGTGACCAGTGGACTGGACCAGCTGGTGGTGCTGCACGCCCGGGGCCAGGATGACCTGGTGGTGTGTCTACACCGCTCCCAGCCGCCACTGGACAATCGTATCGGCGAATTGGTGGGCATGCTGGCTGCACACTTCCAAGGGTGAGTCTGTCTGAGGCTGGTTGGGGACACATGGATGTGGAACCCTGCCATCCTGATCCCCCCACCCCAACCATCTCCTACTCCTCTTACTCCAGGGAGGGTCGAACCCTGCAGGTCCGTGTCTCCGACTGCATCCAGCTGAGCCAGCGTGGTACCCGCCGCCTTGTCTCCGTGGAGCCCAGGCCGGAGCAGCCCGAACCCGATTTCCGCTGCAACCGAGGTGCCTTCACCCTCCTATGGCCGAGCCACTGAGCCAGCCTGTTCTGGCTCCATGCACTTCTGCATACCTGGCTGGCCCTGGGCACATGGATGGCCGGGGCAGCACACAATAAAGATACTTGTCTGTGCCTGCTGTAACTAGTGGCCATCTAGCCCATCTAGAGGAAGCACTAGACCACCCAAGCAGGTGTCACCTGCTGTCTTGGTCTATGTCCTCTGCTCACCCACTGTTGGGTTATATGAACTGGAGGTGAAGTCTGGGAGGAGGGGGCGAGACCAGGGCCATAGGGTCCCTGCCCAGGGACAGACTGGACATGAAGCTCATAGTCTGAGGGGAAGAGTTGCCCCAGGTTGCCTATCATGGGCTCCCAATGGTCTCATACCCAAAATGGACCCTGTCTCTGACCTTCCCTACCCACAGTTTTTGCCATGTTCCTACCGCTCTGGGGAAGTCTTAGAATCCCAGAGGCAGGCCGTGGGGAGCCCGCCTGGGGCACAGCCCAGCCCAGCATGCTGACATAGGATGTGTGCATGACAGCCATGGCACAGCCACTAGTTGTCCAAGTGGGAGGCTGGGTGTGGTCATCTGAGCGTAGGACTTCCCCTGGAGGGAGCCCTGAGCCAATGGAGCCGGGTAGTCAGGTTCACCAGCAAAGGAAGGCCAGGGTGGACATCCATCTGAATGCCTCTAGCCAGCCAACTTCTCCAAACTGTTCGTACTCCTGCCAGCAGCTTGGTGACCATCAGTCCCCACTAAGCCCCAAGCCCCCTCAACTTCTCAGTCTCTCAGCCCCAGACCCCAAGCATGTCAGTCCCTCACCCCTCTCATCCCTTTTACTCCCTCGGCCCCTCAGTCTCTTACCCCCTCACCCCTCAGTCCCTCACCCCTCACCCCTCACCCCTCAGTCTCTTACCCCCTCACCCCCACCCCTCATTCCCTCACCCCCTCAGTCCTTCACCCCCTCAGCCCCTCGCCTCTCAGTCCCTCGTCCCTCTCCCCTCATCCCCTCAGTCCCTCACCCCTCATCCCCTCACCTCTCACCTGTCAGTCCCTCACCCCTCATCCCTTCACCTCTCACCCCTCAGTCCATCACCCCTCACCTGTCAGTCCCTTACCCCCTCAGCCCCTTTTATTATTTTATTTTGATCCAGGGTCTTTCTCTGTAGCCCATGCTGGCCTCCAACTTGTGATCCTTCTGCCTCAGCCTCTGAGTAGCTGGAATTATAGGCATATACAATATGCTGGGTTTGTTCACTTCCCCTTTTTGTGGACATTCATTAAGAGGGTATCCTTGCTTTTTGTTCGGAGGCTGACGTCAGTCACTATGACCTTTGGTCATGAGCTTAGAAAGGCTCAAGACTGTCTGGGCTCTTGACTGACATGTCCAGGCATTGCAAGTGCTGACAGTCACCACCCCCCACCACCATCTTCTACGGCACCTCTGGAAACTTCCACGTAACCAAACCCCTAGAGTCTTTGGCAGCTTCTGGACTGGGCTGTGCACATCCCTCCCAAAGCAATCATATGCAAAGGGTCTTTTTCACTTGTGTGGTCATGAACAGTTTCAGACATTAGGTGTGTCCCCTGTGCTGTGTGAGTCATCCCAAGGTTGGCAGCATCTGCCACTTTCTGTCCAAGTCCCCTCCCTTATGCCCTGGGTGGCAGGGGGGTAGAAGGGCTGGAGTACCCAAACTATACTTGTCAAAGCTTTTCTACATCTTTTCTTTGCACTGGGGTTTGAACTCAGGACCTCACACCACTTGAGCCGTTCGACCAGGCTGCTTTGATGGGTATCTTTGAGATAGAGTCTCAGGAACTACTTGCCCAGGGCTGGCTTCAAACCATGATCTCCTGATCTCAGCCTCCTGAGTAGTACTACAGGTGTGTGCCAAAGGTGCCTGGCTTCAATAATCTTTAGTGGGTTTCATTATGCTAGTCTCACACATCCATACAACGTATTTTAATCGTATTTACCTCCATCATCTTCTACTTTCTCCCTCCCCACTCCCACTGGTTCCTCCACACACACCATAAAATTTGCCACTTGAAAATGTGCTATTCAGTCACTTTTAGTATGTTCACAAGGTTGTATAACCAACCAACATTGCTATCTGATTTTAGAACATTTTCATCATCCTACAGAGAAACTTGTACCCATTAGTAGTTACTCCCTAACTCTTACCCCCAATCTTGGACACAGAAACCATTCATGTACTTTCTCTCTCTAGAATCATGTTTTGTTGTTGTTGTTTTGGTGGGACTGGGGCTTGAACTCAGGGCTTCATGCTTTCCAGGCAGGCACTCTACCACTTGAGCCACTCCTCCAGCCCTGTTTTGAGATAGATTTTTTTGAGATTGGGTCTTGTGAACTATTTGCCTGGGCTGGCTTTGAACCATGATCCTTCAGATCGCTGCCTCCTGAGTAGCTGGGATTACAGAGTGAGCCACTAGCTCCCACCTGGCCCCAAAACACCCCTCATGAAATGGGGGCATGTGCACAAGGGTCCCTAATTATAGCTCATTGAATTCACATGCATAGTCAGTCAATCCGTCAATCACCAAAAGCCACTCCTAATACCAAGCAGATCCCCCTCTGCTCACCCCTTGTAGGGCATAAACACCAAGACCAAGCCCCCAGAGCTCTTGAGCTTCAGGTGCTGCACTAAAGCCACCTCGCTCAGAGCCCGTCACCCCTTTCTTAGGAAGAGTACTTTCATGCTTTCATTCTCAATAAAACTTTGCTATGACTTTGCAATCTGTGGTCTCAGCTCAATTCTTTGTTCAAGACACCAAGGACTTGAGATCTTCTTGACCAGGGTCTTCTGAGATCACCACTGGTAACACTGTGACACTCACTGGTCCCCACACTGGCTCTCATGAATGGCAGTCATGACTGTTCCAACCACAGAAAGCGTACGACTCCACAAAAGACAACCCTGTAGATGAATAAACAATTTGATTTATAATTTATCTGTTTGATTTGGGTTAGTATTAGTCAGTCCCTAGAAGTCTGACCAACTCTGCCATGCACTGTGGATGAGGTTCCAGGAAAGACAAGGATTTGGGAATGAGACCAAGGTGTCAGAGAAAGGGTCTTTCTGGAATGGCTCCCAACTACCTGCTCTGAAGACCATCACGTACTTCTCTTCAGAATCTCAAGGAATACAACAGATGAAGGGAAAATGTGTCTGTCAGATGACATAGTTCTCTTCCTTCCTTTCCTTTTTTTCCTTTTCTCTCTCTTTTTTTATTTTTTTTTTATTATTCTTTATTATCATATGTGCATACAAGGCTTGGTTCATTTCTCCCCCCTGCCCCCACCCCCTCCCTTACCACCCACTCCGCCCCCTCCCTCTCCCCCCACTCCCTCAATACCCAGCAGAAACTATTTTGCCCTTATTTCTAATTTTGTTGTAGAGAGAGTATAAGCAATAATAGGAAGTGACAAGGGTTTTTGCTGGCTGAGATAAGGATAGCTATACAGGGCATTGACTCACATTGATTTCCTGTGCGTGTGTGTTACCTTCTAGGTTAATTCTTTTTGATCTAACCTTTTCTCTAGTTCCTGGTCCCTTTTCCTATTGGCCTCAGTTGCTTTTAAGGTATCTGCTTTAGTTTCTCTGCGTTAAGGGCAACAAATGCTAGCTAGTTTTTTAGGTGTCTTACCTATCCTCACCCCTCCCTTGTGTGCTCTCGCTTTTATCATGTGCTCAAGTCCAATCCCCTTGTTGTGTTTGCCCTTGATCTAATGTCCACATATGAGGGAGAACATACGATTTTTTGTCTTTTGGGCCAGGCTAACCTCACTCAGAATGATGTTCTCCAATTCCATCCATTTACCAGCGAATGATAACATTTCGTTCTTCTTCATGGCTGCATAAAATTCCATTGTGTATAGATACCACATTTTCTTAATCCATTCGTCAGTGGTGGGGCATCTTGGCTGTTTCCATAACTTGGCTATTGTGAATAGTGCCGCAATAAACATGGGTGTGCAGGTGCCTCTGGAGTAACCTGTGTCACAGTCTTTTGGGTATATCCCCAAGAGTGGTATTGCTGGATCAAATGGTAGATCAATGTCTAGCTTTTTAAGTAGCCTCCAAATTTTTTTCCAGAGTGGTTGTACTAGTTACATTCCCACCAACAGTGTAAGAGGGTTCCTTTTTCCCCGCATCCTCGCCAACACCTGTTGTTGGTGGTGTTGCTGATGATGGCTATTCTAACAGGGGTGAGGTGGAATCTTAGCGTGGTTTTAATTTGCATTTCCTTTATTGCTAGAGATGGTGAGCATTTTTTCATGTGTTTTTTTGGCCATAAGAATTTCTTCTTTTGAGAAAGTACTGTTTAATTCACTTGCACATTTCTTTATTGGTACATTAGTTTTGGGAGAATTTAGTTTTATAAGTTCCCTATATATTCTGGTTATCAGTCCTTTGTCTGATGTATAGTTGGCAAATATTTTCTCCCACTCTGTGGGTGTTCTCTTCAGTTTAGAGACCATTTCTTTTGATGAACAGAAGCTTTTTAGTTTTATGAGGTCCCATTTATCTATGCTATCTCTTAGTTGCTGTGCTGCTGGAGTTTCATTGAGAAAGTTCTTACCTATACCTACTAACTCCAGAGTATTTCCTACTCTTTCTTGTATCAACTTAAGAGTTTGGGGTCTGATATTAAGATCCTTGATCCATTTTGAGTTAATCTTGGTATAGGGTGATATACATGGATCTAGTTTCAGTTTTTTGCAGACTGCTAACCAGTTTTCCCAGCAGTTTTTGTTGAAGAGGCTGCTATTTCTCCATCGTATATTTTTAGCTCCTTTGTCAAAGATAAGTTGCTTATAGTTGTGTGGCTTCATATCTGGGTCCTCTATTCTGTTCCACTGGTCTTCATGTCTGTTTTTGTGCCAGTACCATGCTGTTTTTATTGTTATTGCTTTGTAATATAGTTTGAAGTCAGGTATTGTGATACCTCCTGCATTGTTCTTCTGACTGAGTATTGCCTTGGCTATTCGTGGCCTCTTGTGTTTCCATATAAATTTAACAGTAGATTTCTCAATCTCTTTAATGAATGTCATTGGAATTTTGATGGGAATTGCATTAAACATGTAGATTACTTTGGGGAGTATC